GGTGAATTTATTTTTTATTACATACCAGAGTTACATGCCTCAATGTTGATCACCAATTTGGCGTACTTTTTGTCCTGGTACATTTGCTTGAACTGGGCGTTCAACTCCTCGCCGTATAGGTATTGGGAGGGGAATGCGATTAAATCTATTAATTTTCAATTTAATTACATATTAACTACCTTGATAAACAACAATAAGCTTATGATTAAAACTAAAAATAATATTATGTACCCGGTGCTCCATGGTCAATGAAGTAGACATAGATGTGATCGTTGGGTCCACTTTTGATCACCTTTTTGTGATTGCGGGCTAATATGGGGTCACCTCTCAGGACCGCCAAAAAGTTCTGTGAAAAGTAGTTATTTTAAAATTTTACAACCCTGATCATTCAATAATTTAAAAGTATAATTACAACTTACCAAGGGGTTGACATCAGCGCCAGTATAATCCTTGGGCACACCCTTGTAGACATCGGGACCGTTGGGTACGTTGATCACAATACCGGGCGTTGGGTTTGCCTTGTTGTTAGCCAGGTCATCGTAGTGCATGACCACGATGTTTGTGTCGGGTATGCCATGGGATTTGATTATTTGGTAGGCGTGGTATACATTGGACTTGGGTAATTTTAAAAATTAACATATTAATTTATATTTAGTGTGATAAATTGTTTAATTTAAAATTCAAGTTTTACAAACAAAAATATAACCGAGGTAGCGGATATACCAATATAATTTTAAATAAAATACTTATTAGCTAGATAAAGGATAAATTTATAAAGTAACAGTTTTTATAACCCAAGTTTTAAAAAAATAATTGTTAAAGTATTTAATATTTTAATAATATTTTGTTACAGTTTTACTATTGAGATAATGAAGTAGTATACTGGTAAATGTTTTTATAAAAATGTATTTACCTGATGCCTATAATTGGACCAGGTATTTCCACCAGCGGCTAATAGCACCCATTTTGTGCCATTAAAAGCAACTGGCTCAGACAATTCACTGCCAAATGGTACGGCATATACCGCTAAACACAATACCGACAAAATAATCAAAACTTTCATGATTTCTTAATAACTTTTTAAAATTATAAGTTTTTGTTTGCTTTTATAATAAGTAAAATTATTATCTAAGAATTATATTTCATATTAAATGATCTATCTAGAATTTATGAACCTTTTAAGTGTTTTAAGCCTATTGTTTAACCAGACCTCCAGGTGTGGGAACTGTATGTGATATTGGGTACGATTTTCATTGTCTATTCAGATGCTCTTAACGTAAACTCATGTGCTTTAGATTGTGCCTAGATAATAATATTATCATTACTAGGCTACTATTGTAAGAATTATACTTTGAAATCAAAATAATATTTCATTGTGCACAAGTAATTTATTTCTAAAACAAAACTGAATATATTGTAAATTTTATTAAACTGTAAATTTAAACTAAATAATTATAAATTATGAATAATACAGTTTGTTAAATTTTAAAGTTCAATAAGTATATAAAATAAAATTTAAATTTTTATTACCGCATTTATAGCAAATCGTTTATTTTATTTAAATTTTATTAGTAATGAAATTATATATTTTATTTATAAAATTAAAATAATGTAAGTCATTCCCAAAATAGAATAGCTTGGTTATTTTAAGAAAAATATACTAAGATAATTTTTTAGATCTTTTATATTTAAATCAGAGACATGGAATTTTGTGATATTTTATATTAATAGACAAAATTTGACCTATGACCTCTATGTCAAAAGTAATTATTTAAAAACCTTTACTGGGGTTCGACTTTATTTACAATTAAATTTAATTCATAAAAATATCTCGAAAATAAAATTATTGTCGACATGTAATTTGGTTTTTCAAAATAAAATCAGTATCATTAGAATTTAAAAATTAATAATCTTAATTACTGTTAAAATTAATTTTATTAAAGTTTATCAAGTACATAATACCATGGTAAAAACTGTAATTTAAATTTAGAAAAAATTGAGTTTAAATACTTAAAATAATTAAAAACTGTAATATTAGCATAAAAAATAATTTTTAATAAATAACTCATATTTTACCATTAATCATATCTGTATAATTTAAAACTGTAATTAATTTATTTATTAAATATAATTAAAACAAAATATAATACTAATAATAGTTTTATATTAAATATAATATTCATGCTAATGTTGCAGTTTTTAAATGTTTAAATAAATTTTAAAACCTTGAGTATTTAAACTTGATTTTTTATAAATTTAAATTACAGTTTTTATCATGGTATGTTGTACTTGATAAACTTTTTAAAAATTAATTTTCACAGTAATTAAGACCACTAAAATTTCAAATTCTAATGATACTGATTTTATTTTTAAAAATCAAAATACATGTCAACAATAATTTTATTTTTCAAATATTTTTATGAATTAAATTCAATTGTAAATACAGTCGAACCCCAGTAAAGGTTTTTAATAATTACTTTTGACACAGAGGTCACAGGTCAAATTTTGTCTATTAATATAAAATATCACAAAATTCCATGTTTCTGGTTTAAATATAAAAGATATAAAAAATTATCTTAGTATATTTTTCTTAAATTAATCAAGCTATTCTATTTTGGGAATGACTGTAGATTTGTTATAAACTCCGTAAAACAAAAATTTAAATATTATTTTATATACGAATGTTGTAAGCTGTACTATAAATAATAATATTTAAAAATTTTAATTTTAAGTTTATATTAACATTAACAGTTTTAATATAATGAAACCATTTTTTTAAAGTACAAAATTGGCAAATGTGTTGTTTATTAATTACATTACTTAATAAAAGTAGTTATTTGAAAGATAAATTCAAATAAAATTGTTTCTGTATTGTGGTATTAATACTGTATTATTTTTAATATTATTTTCTTATATAACAAAAGTGTGTTAAATTATGAATTATAATTATGTGAAATTATTTATTTTAAAAATGTTGTACTGTTATTTTTATAAGATTATTTGAATTCTCATTAATTTATTTTAAAGTATTTTATTTTAACCAGTATATAATAACTATATTTATTCATAATTTAATTTAAAAAATAAAAAAAACAAATTTATTGCAGTAATTAAAATATTTTATTTTAGTTACAAATTATTTATTTAATTATAAAATTATAAATAATTATTAATTCAAAAAGTTATATAATTAAAATAGTAATACAAAAAATAAGATAAAATATAAAAATTCATTTCTTGTTTACTATTTTAATTAAAGGGTTCAACAATGGTTTATCCATAATATTACCTACAATACAAAAAAAAGTTACATTAATGCATAGCTAAAAAGTGCTCCCGCCCCCCCATGTTTTCATACCTTGTGCCGTGGCCACTTAACCTTTGACTTTGCCTTTGATACACTTAGCACCACGGCACTTTTCACCATCCTCACAATCGCCATCTCGCTCGCATCCATCTTTTCTACCCTCGGTCTTGTAGCAAACCCTGTCCCGGCACCCCTCGAAACCCATATGTCTATCAAAACACTCTTTGTTAGTCTGACATCAATGTTGTTTATCCCAATATTTCTGTGATAAGGTGATAGAGGTGCCAAGGGTCTGGTCCTTAATGGTAATAGAGTTGCCAAGGGCGCACATTGTCTCACGCGCGATCAGGGTACCAATAATAATAATTGCGATGGTTACCGTTTGTTGTCTCATTATTATTTTTTTTAAATAATGATAAAATGGTTCGCAGAAATTATTATAGAAATTGCAAATGTGTTTAATTTTAATTAAATATAGTTGTATATGTAGCATGTAATTAGTATTATTAAGTTTTTATTTACTTTATTGTAAAACAGTTTTTGATAAGTTACATAATAGATATAATTTTCTTATTGATTATTATTGTATGTTACAATAAAGTTTCATTAACAATTTTAACATATTTAAAATTTCCCATGATTATAGATTGTCAAATTAAATACGCATTATACAATTTTATTACACTACTTACAGTTATATTAAAATGTTAAAACTTATTATTGTAAACAATTATTAAAATACTAAAATGAATTTGCTAAATTGTATAACATTAATTTTAATTAGCTGTGTGTATTAATTAATTTTTTTACAGTTTATAAATAAATATAATTTGTATAATTTAGTTACACACGATTAATTTAAATTATTTTAATTTCCAGGTATAACTACGGCTATCTGTGTTTTAACACCCAAGGATGTGCTACTAACCCGCACAAGTACCCTAATCAAACGACTTGATGATGACCTTGTTAAATTTGAGCGCAATCCACTAGCTAGCCAGGCTGATCTCAAAGAATTAAGCGGCAATGAGTCCCAGATTAGATTTCTATACGCCAAGCTACAGTCAGCAATTACACAAAGTGACATTGATGCAATTAGCAAAGAATTAACTCAGTTAGATGACCAGGTTGAAAAACACTTGACAACTTTAGAACATATTGTCGCGGGTGGAACGACATCTCACGGCGTGCCAACCAAACCTCCAACTCTGGCACCGACTACACCGCCCACCGGTGGCCCGACCCCACCCCTACCTACCAGACGTCCAATAATTAATTGTGAGGCAAATTCAAACCTATTCGCCCGGACGGCGGCACTGGAGGTCAGGATTAATGAAAAAATTAAAGAGTTGACTGCCGCGGGGAAAACTGAACAGGCTAAGTCTTTAAAAGCTAAGCAAGATCGTTTGAATATTATGGTAAAGTCGTTGAGTGACAAGGTGATTGAGAATAATAACGTAGTCCAGCAGGCAAATAACATGGAGGCTAATATTGAAAAGGAGCTTGGTCCAAAATAAATTATGTTAATAATGAGTAAATTCTAAATGTTTGTGACAAGTACAATTACTATTACATATTGTGACTTGTGAAAATCATTGTAGAATAAATAATTATAATTAGAAAAATAATCCTTTAATTGCAAATTAATTAATTTTTATTTTAATGAAATTATTATTGTTGGCAAACGTAATAAACGGATAGGTGATAGGCATATTTTTAGACTTTAGTATAAATAATTATGAATTTTAAAAATTTTAATTCAAACTACAAGTAATATATTAAATTTATGTTTGCAACCAAAGGTATATATAAAATTACATAAAAGGTCAATGCAAATAATTTTATTAAATGTCGATTAATACAGCATTAATAATTTAAAATTTATAATATAAATTTTTGTAGTTGTAATTTTAGAAAGCCAAACTTTGTATATTTATTTATGGGAAAATTAAGTTTTAATTAAAATAAGCAATTAATACGGCTTTCCACAATAAGGGGAACTCATAACTGGCTGATGGCATGTTAACCCAGTATCGCATGGACATTTCTACAATTATCATAAAAATAAAACATTAGTAACATGAAATGAATCATATATTTTAAAAACATTTTGTTACCGGATTTCCACAGTAGTCGCCCTCGGGGTGGGTTTGGGCGCAGACACCATATTCACCGTTAAACTGAACACAACACTCGTTGTCCGCACAGTCGACAAACCCTTTACACGACTTGCCCTCATTCGCCACCACACATACGACTGCCATTATAGCAATTACGACCAAGGTACATTTCATCATGATATACTGAATTGCTAATAAACTCTATTATAATAAAGTACAAGACAAGTTATAATTGGGTTGTTAGTTAGTGAGACTTGTAAACGAGGTATTTATACGATTTTTAAAGGATATTCATTGAAAGTTCAGATGTCATTGATAAGGGTTTCCCGAGAATTATAGCCTCCACGAAATTGACCTTGTTCAAGTGATAAACTTTTTAAACCTTAATCTATTTCAAAAATTATGCATCGATAGAAAGAACCTAATTCATTATCTCTTATAATAATTATAAGCCCCAGTATATTTATGATAAAATTTAAAAGTACGGTCGAAATGGTATCACAATCCCAAATAAAGATCCTAGATGACATTCACATACGGCTATGGGATTGGAGCCATGATAAGCTTATTTATAATATTAGGGTACTAATTGTTGGGAGTGACATTAGATAATGGTAGTTTTTACGATTTTATTTTTACCGCTGTTTACTATACATAGTCCTTAAAAGTATTACATATAATATATAAATTATTTAATATAATAAACTTTAATAAAGACGATTGTCCTTACTTATTGTTAATAACCTATGTACTTAAGTGTCCCTGTAGCTGTTAGAAGTTATGCCGATTAATACATATTGTCAAAAAATATGATTAAAAAATACAATTGGTGAAATTAAAATGTTGATTAAAAATTATGTACTTATGTTATTTATTTGTGCATTATACACTATAAATTAGATAATATAATTCTAAATTGTTGTTTCTATATATTAATAAATTATTTAGCCTTCAAAGGTACGGCACAATGCAGATATGATTTTCTTGGAAATATCTTACATTGATAAATTATTTATTGGTAATTAGGGTTAATCATATTTATTTTGAAAGTAATTTGACGTTGTTAAGAAATAAATATGTCTAATACTGTCATTATCTATGTTCACTCCCCAAACATAGTGCCCACGTATGTGTATGTCACCTAGGATCTTTATTTGGGAATGTAATACCATTTCGACCGTACTTTTAAGTTTTATCATAAATATACTGGGGCTTATAATTATTATAAGAGATAAAAATTAGGTATTTTCTATCGATGTATAATATTTTAAATAGATTATGAATGATTGAAAAGTTTATCACTTGGTCAATTTCGTGCAGGCAATAACTCGCGGGAAACCCTTATCAATGACATCTGCAATTTAAATGAACATCCTTTAAAAATAGTATAAATACCCGGTTTACACGTCTCATTAACTAACTAACAAACCAATTATAACCTGCCTTGTACTTTATTATAATAGAGTTTACTAACAATTCAATATATCATGATGAAATGTACCCTGGTAATAATTTCCATAATGGCAATCGCATGTGTGGTGGCGAATGAGGGCAAGTCGTGTAAAGGGTTTGTCGACTGTGCAGACAACGAGTGTTGTGTTCAGTTTACCGGTGAATATGGTGTCTGCGCTCAGACCCACCCCGAGGGCGACTACTGTGGAAATCCGGTAACAAAATGTTTCAAAAAATATATATGAGATAATTAAGCAAAACTATTGCTCTAACTATAATTGTCTATTTGGTATTACTTTACCAATCAGTCCGGAAAGTGTAAACTAGTGTTGAAACATTTTTACAAATTAATGCATTAATCACAACACTAGTTTTTAGTGTCACAATTATAAATACAAAAATCTTTATTTTTAAATGATAAACTAAGAATAG